GAACAGACAGACAAATGGGCTTGCAACAGATAAGGTGAAATCTCTGTTAACCATTGTATAACCATGGGGAGGTCTTGTGAGTTCATCGGCTGCCTCAGCATGAATCTCACTGTGTCCATGTCTTACAGAATGATTGTGGACAAGATCGATGCCGATAAGGACGGCTTTGTCACAGAGGATGAGCTGAAGACCTGGATCAAAAAGTCTCAAAAGAGGTACATCTATGAAAATGTGGACCGCCAGTGGAAAGACTTCGACCTGAACAGTGATGCTGTGATCTCCTGGGAAGAGTACCGCAATGTCACGTATGGCAGCTACCTGGGTGAGGCGCTGTTTGACTCAGGGGGGCAAAGTACCTTCGTCACACTTAAGAAGTATTGGTTTGTGTCATATGACTGAGGCTGACTGGGTTCTTCCTGGGGGAGCAGTCTGATTGCTAGGGGTTGGGATGCTCTCATTGGTCGTTGCGTAACACTCCAGGCCAGAGTTGTCGCAAAGTGATGCGTTTCCATGCACTCAACAGATGATCCTGACCCTGAGGATGGATTCAACTACAAGCAGATGATGTCAAGAGATGAGAGGCGCTTTAAGATGGCGGATAAAGATGGAAACCACTTTGCCGATAAGGATGAGTTCACGGCGTTCCTGCATCCCGAGGAGTATGAGTACATGAAGGACATTGTTGTGCTGGTACGGCTGTTTTTTTTGTTTCACTGTTTTTCCACCCCTTTGGCCAAAGATAGGATTTTCCACTTCTGTGTTGATCCCTGTTTTTCAAAAGGAAACCATGGAGGACATCGACAAGAATGGGGATGGTTTCATTGACCTGGAGGAGTACATTGGTATGTTACTACGGGGGCATGTTGTATGGGAGTTACAAATAGAGATTTTTTTTAATTGTTCTTAATTTTACCGGAATTACATTCAATGAATGAATTTTGCCAATTTTTCCGCCTCTCTGCTTCTCATTGGCTTATCGCTCACCGGTTTCCATGGTAACCTATGTCCAGGGGACATGTACAACCATGAGGCTGACTCCAAGGAGCCAGATTGGGTGAAGACAGAGCGTGAGCAGTTTGCAGAGTTCAGAGACAAGAACAAGGATGGGAAGATGGACAAGGAGGAGACCAAAGACTGGATCTTGCCCTCGGATTACGATCACGCAGAAGCTGAAGCCAAACACCTGGTGTATGAGTCAGACACAGATAAGGTAACGCCCTTTGCAGTCCCGAGATTGTCCCCAGTTCTGTGGGGGCCAGTGCTGCTGTCAGAGTGCCTAGTTGGGCATGTGGGGCTGTTCTGAGTCCAGGTTAAATGTGAGTCTCATGGATTCTCTATCTGTTTTGTTGCAGGACGGTCTCCTAACCAAAGAGGAGATCGTACAGAAGTATGACCTGTTTGTTGGAAGTCAAGCAACTGATTTTGGAGAGGCCTTGGTGCGACATGATGAGTTTTAAATCACCTCTGACAAGAAGGGCTTTTAATGCAATTTTATATACCCTAATTTATTTTTATGACTAGCATATGTTTAATTATTTTTCTCCAGTGAGACTGTTGCAAAGACCTCCAGTATTTATCTCCTTGTTTGTTTGCTAGTTAGCTTTTTTTTTTTGGGTCCTTGGCGCATTTCAATCAAAGTCACTCACCTGTGTGGCCTGTGGCTGGGCAAGCTGCCTGTGCAGGTCGTCATGGAAACCATAAAATCCAGAGCATGAAGCAGCTCACAGCCTATATGGATCTGAGCCGGCCTGCAGTGCGAGCCTAAAGCAGCTCTGAGAAGCTAGTCGGACCTGTGCTGGCCTGCAGTGCGAGCATAAAGCAGCTCTCAGAAGCTAGTCGGACCTGTGCCGGCCTGCAGTGCGAGCCTAAAGCAGCTCTGAGAAGCCAGTCGGACCTGTGCCGGCCTGCAGTGCCAGCATAAAGCATCTCTGAGAAGCTAGTCGGACCTGTGCTGGCCTGCATTGCAGCTGCCTGGTGGTGTGAGCCTACCTGCGTCTGCTGCTCTGAACCCAATTCTGCTACACTTTGCTTGCATTGAGACATCTCACTATTTTGTAATCGTTTAACAAACAATTTGCTCACACTACATAAAGTACACCGACACTCCTGTCGCAGATCAGCCGTTACTGTGTTTGCTCCTGTTTGTTGTTCTCACTTTGTTTTTACTGTAAATACATAAGAAGCACTATTTGTAAACCAGTATACTATGACTTTCTGGATTTTTCACAATAAAATGATTTACAAAGAAAGCATCATCTACTCTGGTAATGGAGCTGCCATTTAAAGTGCCTTATATTGGACAAACATCTCAGCACTGTACATATGTACAGATCCTTTGGGATTTCAGCCCTCAGAGCAGGTTCTTGGTACTGTGGAGTAATTAGAATCCACTGATTTTTTTTTTTTTTTGTTTATTCATCCTGTTCAAAATGTATTGTTGATTGGGGGGAAAACACTTCAATACTATATAAAAACACCTCAAATTTTGTTAATGGGCTTCACAGCATCACAGATAATAATAATAATAATAATTGCTAGGAAGTGTCCTCTGTTGGCTTTGTTTCCAAAGCGGTCAATCTGTGTGAAGTTGACCCGTCATATGTTTCAGATTTTTACCAAACCGGTCTCAATCATTTGTGCTGTGTTTGTGCTGTTAAAAGTTTGTCCTGCTTTATTTTCTGAGATGTGTTTATGGCTGACAAGAAGCAAGGCAGCATTTTTCCAAACACGGCGCTTATCAGCCCTTAAAAGGACTCAACAACAACAACAGCAAGTCTCATCGTATGCAAGAACACCAATATCCCAATACGACTCTACACCAGAGGTCCGGCGGCAGCTACCAGTGCGCCCTTTCTGGTAGCCTTGGAAGCTGCTTGCCAGTGAGTGCTGAGCAGCTGGGAACCACTGGCAAAGCCAGACTGCTGACAGAAGCTAGGGGACCCAGGTTACTAGCGGGCGTTGGCGTGCTAGTCCACCCAGGTGCTGACCCTTGACCTTGTGCGGCTTGATGAGGATCTGCTGCTGATCGCTGTGCTGTTTCCCCCTGCTAGCCCTTCAACTCCACAGACCAGGTTGCCTTGCTCAGCCGTTTCTAGTCCAGCCTGCTTCTTCTAGTAGTTGCGCTCAAGCTCCCAGCTGGCCAGCTCCTCGTGCCACCTCTACTGCTGCCTCTGACAGTCGCGCTTGCAGCTGAGCGCACACCGTGCCTTCTTGCAGCTGGCATGCTGAGAGCCCTCTCTGCCTGGGGAGTTTATGGAGCCGCCAGGAGCTCCCACACTCCTCGGCCATCAACATCGTCTTGGCCGGAGTTCCAGGAGGCTAGCAGGGGAATCTGAAAGCTACCTTGACAATTCAAACGGCGGAGCCGCTGTCAATCAGGACAGGAAGGGGCTCTTCCAAAAGAACATTTGTAAAGTCAGTCACTGATGTTGGACGTGAAGGCCTGGTTCGCAATCTGCATTCTAGTTCATCTTAAAGGTGTTCAATGGGGTTGAGATCAGGGCTCTGTGTGGGCCAGTCAAGTTTTTGCACACCAATCTCACCCAACTATGTATTTACAATCATCACCTGATATCAGTTAAATCTCGGGTTATATGGGGCTAAATCACACACTTTAAGTTAATAAAAAATAATTAACTTTATAGCCACTCAATTTTCTGCATAATAAAAACAACCAAGAAAGTCATAGTTGCAGTTTGGGTGTACCAGAACGCCACTCTGAGAAGGTGACGCCGTCCTGGAAGCAGAGAAGCTTCCAAATATATGCAAATAACACATTGCTTGACCCTCCCCTCCAAACCCCTCCCCCTTCCATGCTAAAACAGAGACAGTAACTTAAGCGCTGGCATCAAAATAAAGACAAAGCGAATGAGAGGCTAACTTGACAGTGGTGACTATTATGTCTCAGCACTAAAGCAGCACAAATGCACAAATTTTTTTGGTAAGATGCATTTTAAGAGCTGGAAACCTTAGCTATTAAACAATGGGCCAACCTGCCAGTGACTCATTTTTTTCTTAAATAGCATTTTTTGCAGCTGAGAGCTTGAATTTTGTCAACTCCATCAGGCATTTATTACATTTGTAATTTAGTTTACAATATAAAACATGAAGGAAAACTGTTGTTTTTTGGTTGTATTAAATACAAGATGCACTAATTGGCTGTATCATAAGAAAGTGTGATATCTTTTTATTTAAGAAATAAATACCATTATAATGTTTGTTATAAACAACATATAATTTACAACACAAAGAACATGCATTAGGTGTACCATTGAAACTGTTTATTAACATAAACTCATTTCATAAATCATTCTGAATAAATATTTAGTGGTTATAACAGAAAAAATCCGTCTGTCGGAGGTGACCGTATACGACAGATATGCAGACCACCATAGACGCCAGTCTATTGGCAGTCATTGCTGTAGATATGTCCTCAGGGTCTGGCGGTAGACCTTCTTCAATTTCCATCATAAGTTGTGCAGAATGTCTCTGGCTATTCATGATGCTTTGCTCAGTGCTTAAAGCAAAACAAACTGGACTGAAACAGTGACACATTCTTGGTTCACTGCAGAAACACAGTGATTCTGTGTACCAGAGTATATTTTCATCTGGGATGACCTGGTGAATCTTTCTGCTTGCAGGGAATGGTTTCAGGGTGAGAGGAAGGGCTTTGTTGAGCTGGAATTTTGTGTTCATCAGTGAGATAGAAAATTACATTGTTAATACTGTTGGGAACTGCTTGGAATTGACAATGTCACTTAATGACATGACTGTGACTCTCCAAGGAACACATTTGGATGTGTGTGCTGCTTCCATCCCTCTGTAAGTAGGACGAGGGTCGTTAGACCACAGATGGTGTGTCACTCGCTCACAGGATTCCTTTAACAAATGCCTCTTTATCTGTAGTAAGAGCCCACCCTGTCTGGAAGAACGAAGAAAAGTATTTAAAACATTTAACATTTAAGCTTTATTCACGTATACTAGCCTGAGTCATATGATGAAAGCAAAAGGTAGAAACTTACACAGAACAGTCAATAAAAACATTAATCATGTGTTCTGAGAGGGTGTCTGAATGGATTTAAGGGGACATCTTGATATAGATATTAAAGTATTATGCATGAAAACAATAATCATGAAAAACTGCTGCCTCAGCATTATGCAAGTGAAAGTCAAAGTACCTTTTATTGTCGACTTCAGATATATGGGTTGTAGACTGGGGTCATGGCCGTACACACCACTGAGGGCCCGATCGAGGTGGAGGTTTTCGTCAAAGTCGGGAAATGCCTTATAAATGGCTCTACTTCAGTTCGGCAAAGATTACGAAGTAACTAACGCAAAAAATACCATATTCGACTTAAGCGTCTGATGACTCTGAAGCACCTTATCGCGTTGTCACTACAAAAAAATCGCTACGTTACTCCATGGGTTCGTTGCCAAGGCTACCACAATAAACAATAATCTTTCCGGGAGCCACGTGACTGGGTTTGTTTAGCGCCATTACTTAAAGGAATAAGTGGCCTGAGTTCGTCGCACACTTCGGTCTAGTGGATTTCTTGCAGTAAACACTCAAAATCAGTAGATTAAATATTTCCGATTTTTACACCGCGGGCGAACTGCTTTTTAAAATGTTAAAAAAAGATAGCAATAAGGTTGATTTTATTCAGTCCAACTTTAGCTAAGAATATTGTTTTGGTTTTCATTGATGCATCAATAAGCACTAATACAACTGAGAAATCGTCAAAGGAAGTGCCGGTACGGATTGTCCAGGATTGCAGGGTGTCCCAGTGCTGTTCACTGCAATCAAAAACGAACCTGATCTAACGCAATTGTTATAATTACCAAATAGATTTCGTTCTTTGGTGATTAACGTGGGAACTGGGGGTTAAATTTAATGACAAGACAAACTAACTAAACAAACTAAAGAAGTCTAACTGTGGAGTAATAATACACTGTGTTGCTTATTTATTAGATACAGCTATAATTTTCTGCTCGTGTAACATACATCCATTTCAGGGATTCGTGATCAGAGATACCATTTTGCCCACTGCGGGAGGAAATTCTCCCCCCTATTGAAATCTTGACATTACAAATAAATCAATTGTTAAATGTCATAACATTAAAGAAACAGACATTTCCAAAATATCGCACGAGTATTTTAGCCTTTTTATATTCCATGGTGGTGGTCAGCGGTGGTAGGGGTAGTTGCGGGTGTTATATTGGACCTCAGTAGTACTGTATTTCTAAAAGTCTGTGTCCGGCCCTGACTCAGGTAAAATATCGTTTTTGTTGGTCATAGTGCAAATGAAAAGTAATGAATAGCATATAAATATCGAGACGTATAAACATGATATAAACATCACATTTTAAGACGTGTAAATGATAATACACATATTTATGCATACTCACATGTGCATATATATATACATGGACATCATATATATGCTTTATGTTTCACACTTCATATTCTTTTACATTTTTAAGTCCCAACTATCCTTCCTCTGATTTCCACACGGGGGCGCTTATCGGACACACGGCAAACCTGTCCGTCTGACATGGCGCTCCGAGAAGCGCACCGTCCACCTAAATAAATATTAACTGGCGGACTGCTTACACTTTTTTGCACAGTAATCGGAGATATTTTACTTGAACTAGTTTCCCTGAAACATAAAGGTGCCATGGAGGGCAACAAGCCATCCCTTGCGCTGGTTTACCGGGCCGTCCAGGCGCTGTACCATGACCCGGATCCTGCCGGCAAAGAGCAAGCCTCCGTGTGGCTCGGGGAGCTGCAGAGATCGGTAAGTGGAGTACTAAAGTTCGAGGCTTCGGCGCGGCCTACCAGGAAGCTTCCGGGTGGGCTGTGACCGGGCGGAATCCGTCTATGGATATTCTGGGTGCGTCGCACGCAGTGGTCGGGCAGACATGAAACTGCAAGCAGTGGTATTGGGAAAGCAGGTTTAGGAGAAGTATATTGAGAGACATACTGAGTGTGGCTGAATGTGTAGAGAGGCGCCTGCCCTTGCATATCCGCTTCGTATTGCCTTTTCCTGGTCTAGTTATATTCTGTATAACTTCCAAGTGGACTGAATGACAGGGCAAACCGGGCTGGACTTGGCTGGGGGGCGCTCCGCAGCCAGTGCGGTCGCGTTTTGTTACTTGGTATGGTCATGATCTTCGTGTGACATAACTGTCGCCTGGGTTCGCATATAGTGACTTGTTCATGGTCACAGTTATGGTTAGTGTCTTGGTTATTTGAGCGTTATTTAAGTGCACTGTCATGCACTCCTGCACTTTTTATACATTATCATCATCTTTATCATCATTTATCAGCCACACATGCATATTGTATATATCCGCTGCACTGTATGTGGCCACTGTCCTGTCCTGACTGTGTATGTATGAGAGCCGGAGACAGACTCCCCGTGTCTGAACATACTTGGCCAATAAAGCTGATACTGATTTGCTCGTGTGACTGCATCAGCAGCTTCCCCTACCACACCCCGGACAGCTGCCGGTGTCTGTTTTTAAAAAGGAGAGTATAAGCAGAAGTGGAGGTTTTTTAGCTGAGAGAGAGAATGAGGCATGTCTCATGCCTTGAGTCCTGCTGTTTGACAGGTATAGAGTTAATGCATTAAGGTGACTGTGGTGCTCAGTCTGATTTTGCTGAAGGTCCAGTGATGGTGTCAGACCTGTAGACAGAATCCTCAGCTGCTCCTTGGGGCAGCCAGCAGACCCTGTGGGGGCCAGGGTCAGCTGGGGGTGCTGGCTGCGGAGATGGGCTGTCCCTGCTATATATTAGGGTTTAACGCTCCTGACAACGTAGCTGTGTAAGTGGTAATTTGGTAATAAATGAGAGAGGCTAGTTATTTGGTGGACTACAGATTTTCTAGATTTCATTATAACATGGGTTATAGTCAAATTCTTCCCACATTGGAACAGTGATCTTCAACACAGGAACAAGTTATTTCCTGATGTGGACAAAAAGCGCTGACTCTGTACAGATGGCTCCTTCGTATCCCTTATGCATTAAAAAGCTTGTGATATTTGTGTTTACTGAGAGGTGCTGATTGGCGCTGTCTCCACAGTGAGTTGGTCTGCTGTCTTCCCTGCTGTGGTGACACATGTCCCATCTCTCTTGTAGATGTACGCCTGGGAGATCGCTGACCAGCTTCTGCAGCTGCAGCAGGACGTGGAGTCCTGTTACTTTGCCGCCCAGACCATGAAGATGAAAATACAGACCTCATTCTATGAACTTCCAGCCGAAACCTACACAGCCCTTCGGGACTCGCTGCTGTCTCATATACAGAACCTCAAAGACCTCTCCCCCATCATCGTCACTCAGGTCAGTATGTGTGCGTGAGTCAGGAATCTTGATTTATAGAAACAGTGATGGGGTTCAGACCCGCTTGGCTTATGTTCACCTTTCCACTGCACCAGGTACCATACTTTTGCTACTAAAAATTTGGTACTTTCCCTTTTCCATTGATTTCCAGTCAGGTACCACTGTCAAAAGTACCAAACCAGCTAGGGCACTTTTTTTGGTACTTCGGTACTTTGGGGTGGGGTTTGCAAACGTGTTTAATGATGAGTGTTTCTGCAAATAACCTTCCTGGCAAACACAAAATACGTCTGCAGTCCTGAAAAAGTCTAGTTACAGACTCCGAGGTAAACCGAAGTAAAAAAAGAAAAGTAATAATACTGGATGCGTGGACAAATGAAGAGACCAAAGCTTTAATTGTGATCTGGTCAGAATAACATATTCAACAAGATGTGGCGTAACAAGAAATAAAAAAGTATCTGCTACAATATACTAGGGCTGCAATACATTTCTCACAAAGTCATCCAGAAATGATTTTAATAGCAAAAATTAAAATGAGCTCATGCTGAAGCAGCGGCAGTACCACTGACACACTCTAGTGACATGGGACCAGCAGTGTGCCCATACTGCCAACTCTGTTTGTTGTCCGTTTGTTCTGATATTATAATCATGGCGATACAGTCACATGACCTTTCATTTCGTTTCCACCACTCCATCTGGGTGCTTCACTTTTTTTGTCACTGAGTGTAGGCCTACTTTTAAAATTTCTTGTCATGCCATCCTGATCTTTTTTTGTATCTGTTCTTCTGACCAGTTCGCTATTAATTTCTTTTTACTTAATTTATCATTGTTTTCTGAGTTTGTGACTGTTTTCATGGTGGCATTTATATTATGTTTCTGCCGCATCTTTTTTCCATAACCAGTCGAGAAAGAAAGCATTTCAACTGCCACTTCAAAGTATAGAATTACCAAAGAAGTACCCCAGCTGGTTTGGCGCTTTTGGTACTGGTACTCGATCGGAAGTCAATGGAAAAGCAAAAATACCAAAAGCATGGCACTTGGTGCAGTGGAAAAGGGCCCTTAGCTCCACCATGGGTGCAGCACAGATATTTCTGTGCTAGCCCTGCATCCTTGTGTGTTTCCAAAAGTGGGAGCATAATTAGGCAATACTAGATGATATTTTATTAAGGTAGCACCCAATCAATGCTAGTAATACATTTACAGCCAAATGCAGTGAGAAGTCTTGACCAATAGAGTTGAATGCCATGTACTTGTGCATGGCATGGTGTGTCTTTCAGTCTCTTTGGAAGCATCTGCCTGTTCCTGATGCTCCTGTTCTCTCCCAGCTTGCTCTAGCCATCGCAGATTTAGCCCTTCAGATGACTTCTTGGAAGGGCTGTGTCCAGACTCTCATCGAGAAGTAAGGATGTTCACCGTGTTGTTATTGAGTACTTAACCCTTTGTCGTTTTCTGTGATGGCACACGGTATCTCCTAACCTTACCAGGATCACTCTGCACTTCCTTATCCCCCTGTCCTCCCACAGGTACAGCAGCGATATCTCCTCCATGCCCTTCCTGATGGAGATCCTGACCGTGCTGCCCGAGGAGGTACACAGCCGCTCCCTGCGCATCGGAACCAATCGTCGGACGGAGATCATCGAGGATTTGAGGCTCTATTCCAACTCTGTCGTCACTCTGCTGGTGCGAATTGAGTGTCCCTCCCAGTGTCCTACCTCCTGGCCTCTCAGTAGACCTTAATTTGGGGACATTTACCCTGACTTCCTGCCACCGGCTCCCTGCTCCCTTCCTCCTCAGGTATCATGCATCGAGAAGACCGGCAACAACGAGAAGATGTTGATGAAGGTCTTCCGGTGCCTGAGCAGCTGGTTTAACCTGGGCGTCCTGGACCACAACTTCATGGCCAGCAACCAGCTCCTCGTCATCCTCTTCCAAGTGCTGGTGGGTGTCGCCCGGATCTGTGGCCTGTGCTCTTTATTCTCTTTGAGAAACCCTTGCGTGTTCATGCTCACAACGCTCACCTCCAGGGGCATCACAGATGGTCTCTTCAGTGCTCATAAACTATCTGTTAAACATACATTGAAAATTAAGGTCTCTTTGCCATTTGTACAAGTATGGGTACAAGTACAGTGGAGTGCATTAGTTTTCTTGTATCCCATCTTTCTGTCCTTTTCAAGACGCACACGCAGATATAGAAGACAGTGATACCCGAGGGATATGCGTGACTCTTGCCATCTTGTTCCTTGCAGCAGCGGGATGAGACGACCACCAATCTGCATGAGGCAGCCTCAGACTGTGTATGCGCGGCGCTGTACGCCATCGAGAATGTGGACAGCAACTTGCCGCTTGCCCTGCAGCTCTTTCAGGGCGTGCTCACGCTGGAAACAGCCTACCACATGTCCGTGGCCCGTGAGGACCTAGACAAGTGAGCTTTCCTTCCCTCCCTCCGCAATCGCGCCCGCATCCCACTGATCCCACCGTCCATAACCATGGAAACGGGGCGCCTCAGTACCTTTCAGTCTGTGGTTCCCAACCAAATTGTACAATGTACACTGGTCCGTGGACATCAAAAAATTGGGAACCCCTAGCGTGCGAAATGTAAATGAACACAGCTGCGGTGGCCGTGGTGACACGAGCACTTCTCACCCACAGGGTACTTAATTACTGTCGCATCTTCACGGAGCTGTGTGAGACCTTCCTGGAGGCGATGGTACGCAGCCCAGGCAGCCCAGGACAGGGCATGGGGGACCTCCGCTCCCTGGAGCTGCTTCTCATCTGCACGGGACACCCCCAGTACGAGGTGAGACCTCCTTTAGAATTCCTGTTGGGGCCAAAGGAGCGTGACCGTCGACCCATAGAGAGGTTCCCTGGCCAATGAACTGTGTCTTAAGAACATAAGAACTATACAAACGAGAGGGGGCCATTCGGCCCATCAAGCTTGCTTGGGGAGAACTTAACTAATAGCTCAGAGTTGTTAATATCTTATCTAGCTCTGATTTAAAGGAACCCAAGGATTCAGCTTGCACTATATTATCAGGAAGACTATTCCATACTCTAACTACACGCTGTGTAAAGAAGTGCTTCCTTAAATCTAGTTTTCCCGCTAATTTCCTCTTGATGTCAGGTGGTGGAGATCTCCTTTAACTTCTGGTACCGCTTGGGCGAGCACCTGTACAAGACCAATGATGTCATGCTGCATGGAATCTTCCGGCCCTACATCCAGAGGCTGCTGCACGGGCTGGCCCATCACTGCCAGCTGGACCCCGACCATGTGAGGCTCCTTGTCAGCTCCTGCTCTTCCTCGGCACCTGCTCTGGATCGCGCCGAAGGATCTGTGGTCTTGTTTGTTGTGTACATTTCTGTTCTGGCCACCGTTATAATCTGGTCTGTTAATCATCAGGTGTGATGACCAAGATCCTACTTTTCATTTTGCCGTGATGTCACAAACACACACCATTTAATTTTATGCCTGTGTTTACAGGAGGGGATCCCTGAAGTTACCGATGATTTTGGGGAGTTTCGGATGAGAGTGTCAGATTTGGTGAAGGACATTGTTTTCCTGGTTGGGTCTGTGGAGTGTTTTTCCCAGGTATGTCACATGGTCCCGGATGTGCTGTGTGTGCAGGACAAAGTGCGGTGTGGTCTAGATCCATAGCAGAGTGTAGCTGTGTATCATGGCCTTGGCCTACAGTAGAGTGTAGCTGCGTATCATGGCCTTGGCCTACAGTAGAGTGTAGCTGTGTATCATGGCCTTGGCCTACAGTAGAGTGTAGCTGCGTATCATGGCCTTGGCCTACAGTAGAGTGTAGCTGTGTAGCATGGCCTTGGCCTACAGTAGAGTGTAGCTGTGTATCATGACCTTGGCCTACAGTAGAGTGTAGCTGCGTATCATGACCTTGGCCTACAGTGTTGCGTAGTGTAGTGTAGAGCAGTCTTCAGCCAAGAATAAAGTATAGCAATATCCTTCAGAGTCAAGCACAGGCTGAAGATGGAGCTCTACTTGGTCTGTCAGCTACTCACCCAGCTGGGACGCCTCTCTCCTACAGCTGTATGCCACCCTGAAAGAGGGGAACCCCCCCTGGGAGGTGACGGAGGCTGTGCTCTTCATTATGGCCGCCATCGCCAGGAGTGTCAGTCCGTGAGTGTGAAAGTGCACCCCCTGTCTGCAAGGAGTGTAGCACCCGCTGCTCATCCTGTCATGTAGAGGAAAGGCGTGTTGATGTGTGTGACGCGTCAACCCCTCTCCCCTGGGCAGCGAGAACAATCCAACCCTGCTGGAGGTCCTGGAGCAGGTGGTGCTGCTGCCCCAGACCATCCACATTGCTGTGCGCTACACCAGCATCGACCTGGTGGGGGAGATGGGTGAAGTGATTGACCATAACCCCCGCTTCTTAGGTGTGTGCTGGATAGGGAACGTGGACTTGCTGCCTTTCATAATGTCCCCTGCCTGGCGGGTGGGGAATAGACATGCACTTTGGGCTCCTCTAACCGTGTGTGTGTGTGGGAACAGATCCTGTGCTGAATTACCTCATGAAGGGATTACGGGAGAAGGCCCTGTCTTCAGTCTCGGCCAAAGCCATCCACAACATGTGCTCTGCATGCCGGGACCTCATGATCCAGCACTTCCAGACCCTGCTGGACATTGCCCATGCCCTCGACTCCTTCTTCCTGTCCTCAGAAGCTGCTGTTGGCCTCCTCAAAGGTACTTCCCGGTAGCAGGATGGGGATAAGGCATGACAGCCTCGTTTCTTAACAGTCCGGCCCTGACTTGGGATGCTTCGGTGCTAAGTCACGCATCTTACACGCTCATATACAAACTACTGTGGAGGTGTTTGGAGTGATAGCTTGATGACTGGTTGACCACAAACGCCAGCACTAATTTGGAAGTTATCCAGAAGTGCAAAGAAAGATAGAAGTAGTGGAGCAAAAACTGAGCAGATGTCATTTAGGTACAAAAATAATTCCATGTAATGCATCAATTAATACAGTTTTTTTTTTTGCTTGCTCCATATTTCTGCATCAGAAAATTTTAGCAATAACCAGTGTACTTTTGTCTAATATCAACCGGTGTTTGTGGTGAAACGTATCAGCGCTTAGCGGTATAACGTTACGTGATATGGAGTGACTCACGTCCAAGATATTTCTGTTAAGCTTAAATCAGAGGCAGTTCTTGTTTAGAGTTTTATAACTGTTAAGCAGTATACAGTGAGGGAAATAATTATCAGATAATTATTTCCCTCACTGTATATAACTTAGACCTACATTCATGGCAAAAGCTATCTGCTTCTGTGGCATGGAATCATAATTAACTCATTTGATCTGTTTCCTTTGTCATTGTGTGATGTTGCAGGTCTTGTGACCTCGCTGTATCAGTGAACATGTCCCCTTCAGGTGGATGGTCATGCTGTCCAT